AGAGCTGGCACAAACTTTCGTGTTCCGCCCGCCTGGCCCGCGGCGACCTGTTGGCCCCGCTTCGCTCGGCAACACGCGAGATAGTGAGCCCCTATGCTTGAATGTCCCGCCCGCCCGACCCGCCCTGGCCTGTTGGCCTCGTTTCGCCCGAGCACAAGGGGCAAAAGACCCGACGCTTTGCAGCACCGCCCGCCCAGCCCGCCGTGCCCCTGTGCTCCGCGTCGCCGGACTACACTCGAGAGAGAGGCTCCTGCACTTTGAACTCTCGCACGCCCGACTCCTCTCGTTCGTCGGCCCCGCTCCACGCGGCCTCGGTCGAGTGAACATTGCATCTTGAGGTCCCGCCCGCCAAATCTGCTCTGCCCCGACGGCTCTGTCTCGAAAGCTCGCTCTGCTTCGTTCGCCCTGCGTCGCCCCACCGCGGTTGACATAGACCCGACGCAACACTTTAAGGTTGCGCCCGCATGCCCCGTGTCGCCCGTTAGCTCTGCGTCGCCTGTCCACACGCAACGAAGATCATACACTTGGGCGCCGCGTCCGCCAGACTCGCTTGCCGTCGTTGACCCTGCCTCGACACAACGGTATACTTTGATGTTCCGATCGCTCGACTCGGCCCCCTGTGCCGACCAGCTCACCAGTAAAACATTGGGTAAGAGCGCGCCCATATTTAAAAGTCATAACGCTACACATGCCAATCCCAATCCAGCAAGATTGCACAGTGGAACAAATGGGAAACCACCAACCATTTTTCAATGTTTCAATCCGCAACCTCAGAATTTAACATGCCGATGTTTCAAATTTCAATTCGCAACCCGGGCATCCAAATTTGGAACTTACTTTCCAACCGTCAACTCTTCAATCCGACGAGCTCGTGTTCATCTGTTCCATGCTTTCCAATTTCCAATTCCGCACCGACTCAGAAAATCAGGCCACGAACTATCTATATATGTATGTGCATAAACACACACATATATGTATATATATATATATATATATATATATATCGGCGCATTTCTACGTATACGCCCATGGGCATTTATAGACGCACTGGAACAACGCGTGTGCTTTGAACGCGGTTCGTGGTGAAAAGTCGGAGGAGGGGAAGGTTGAGGGCAACGTGAGGCATGACGGAAGACTGAGGCGGTATCATCGACGAGCACCGGGGGAATAAAGACGAAGGGGAAGAGAGAGAGAAGGGGGGAGAAGCGAGGGACACGAACAGGAGGCAGGATGTTGATAAGGTTAGGTCGGGCCTGTCCCCCTATTGGGGGATTTTGGCAGAAAAATTGTCAAAAAATCGCCCCCAGACTTTCTTACTATTTTTGAATATTCCCCCTATAGGGGGACATGTCCGACTTAATGATAAGGAGAAGGAGGAGGGATGGGGGTAGGAAAGACCAGGGTGAATGGGGAAATTGTGCTGGGATGGGCGGCCAGGGAGCAGGATCATAGACGAGAGGGAGGAGCCGAAGCGCTAGGGCGGATGGAGGAACGATGACAGGATGGGCGCGCACTTGCCCACAGGGGGGCCCGGTCCCGCCAGGGAGGCTCGTGGCACCTGGGCCGGAGCCCTGGGCCTCGACCAGCAGGGCTTTGTGCTAGATTTACACAAATGTATACACATACGCATTCACCTGCACCTGCACTGCACGTACAAACACGTACACACATGATACATCACACACATGTTTATATTTGGAAGAGAAGGCCGACCATATACACACATACTACACCAGGGAGAAACCCCAATCAGTGGATGGTTTGCGCAAGTTGGCAAGTACCATGTCTGGCCGCAATTTCGCCGTAGGGCCCGAAGAGGAAATCGTGAGATCGATGGTGAGCTCGATCGTGAGATCCCCAAATCAGCCCGGAACTAGCGACCGGGAACCCGGGAACCTGGAACCGTGAACCCGGGAACCCAGCCGCCTACCAAAATCGGCCCGGAAGCAACAAAAGCACCCGGGAAGTCGGAAGTGGGAACCCGGGAACCTGGGAACCCGGCCGCCCACCGAAATCGGCCTGGTACTTTCGCCAAATCTTTCAGTCTCCGCTAGGACCCCTTCAATACAAGCACTGATTGGGGAGTATTTTTTTTTTTATATATATATATATATAGAAATACCCATAGATATAGAGGGAAGGATGGAAGGAGAGAGAGAGAGAGAGACCTATATATATATATAAGACATATTTAGAGAGAGTGGTAACAAAGAAGACAGAGTGAAAAAAGAGAGATCGACAGAGAAGGCGATGATGCCTCCTCACGCACCCCGTCCTCCCACTGTAGCTGTTCCTCCTTCCTCCTGTCCTCTGCCCTCCTTCCTTGGTGATCAGGCTAATGAGCTGGAATCTTGAGGGCAATACGTAATGATGAAGACGACGGTAATGATAACGCAGACCAGCACATTACATGTGAAACATCTGAAAACAAAACGAGATCTCCGCGCACCTGCCACGGTACTTGAGCGCTGGCCGAACCATGCAATCAGACTCCCGCGGTCAAACCTGGTCCCAGGAAGCCGTGCATCTACTCGTGCATATACTGTACCTCTTCGTGTTCCCCCGTGCCTGAAACATCTTGCATCAATATCCTGCGTGCCTGCCCACGTGAGTCACATCAGTAAGGAGCGGAGCTCATGTTTGGCCCTGGCTGCGGCTGGATCCACGAGGAGCGCCCGAGTAACAACCCGAGCAAGGACATGGAGAGCTCCGAGCCCATTCCGAAGCCAGAGCCGCTCTGGTTCCACCGCTTTTGACCGCAAGATCGACAGTTTATTACTGATTGTGTTGTTCTTGCCTTCGCCGCCTCGCGAAGCTTTCGCCAGGATTAGGTCCGGCATGTCCCCCTACAGGCGGATTTCGGATGAAATTTCTTAAACTGTCAAACAATATTCAAAAATAGCCAGAAAATGCTAACACAAATCGTCCCCAGACTATCTTTTTGACTATTCTTGAATATTCCTCCTGTAGATGGACGTGCCCGACTTAACGCCAGGAGCGAGGAACACCGACACCGCCACCAGCGCAAGGAGCTGGCGAGGGTTCTCCTGGTGGTGTGGTCCCCCTGTTTTGCGGCGTCCCGCTCGAGGCAGCTCCCAATCTCCAGCTCGGGGAGGCCTCGTGGACATCCTCGCTCAAGGTGGCCCGCTGGTGGCTGTGTTGCTTCTCCGTGGAATGGGGGACCAATTTGTCGCCCCGAGTCGCCTTTTGACGGCCCAGGGGGCCCAGAGGGTCAGGAAATGGCGGGAAACCTCCAAGACCGCTTTCCTCCAGGACCCCCCTGGGGATCCACTGACCCGGGTCAATGCAAACCTGGGTCAGTCAGGCTTTGCAAGACCCTGCAAGATCCAGCAGCACCCTGCGCGCAGACCCGGGTCAGCAATGCGCCCCTTGCTCTGCAGCACCCTGCAAGGTCCAGTGCCCTGGCATGACCCCCCTTTGCTCGGGAGCGGCCAAGAGGGGGGTGTCCAAGAGGGGGGTTGGGGGGGGGGCAAATCATGGCCGGCGGCATGTGCGCGGCCCAGCGGGGGGCCGGGACCGCACTGAAAGAAGAAGAGGCGCCAAGAAAGCGGGGGAAGTCTCATGCCCCCCGCCATGATGTCCCCCCCCCCCCCCCTATAGTCATCCCCCCCCCTTTTCCGCGCCCCCGACTTGCGCTGCCCCCCGCCTCGAGGCCCCCGACGCCCCCCCCCCGGGCTCGTGCCGAGACTGGCCTCGCGGCCCGCCCCGCGACGCGGCGGCGCCCTGCCGCCCGCCGGCGCCGCGCCGCGCCTCGCCGGGGGCCCCGCCCGCCGCGACCCGAGCCGCCGGCGCGCCCGAGGCGACCGGGCCGCGCCGGCGGCGGCCTCTGTGCCCGCCGCGACCCGCGCCGCCGGCGCCCCGCGCCCCCTCCCCAGACAGGCCCCCTAAGAAGAAGCCGCACTCTCTCTCTCTCTCTTTCTCTCTCTCTCTCTCTATATATATATATAGATGCACCGACGCTTTTCTCCGGCCCCGCACCGGAACTCGCAGGGGAGAGCGGATCCTGGTGTATACGGGATCCTGGGGTATACATTGGTTGTTGTTCCCCCCGAGAAAGAAAAAGCGGGGGAACAAGTATACACCACGTCACCCCGACGTCGTCCCCGACCCTCAGAAAGCCCTGGGATTGAAGAGCAGCCCGCCACTGGTAATGCATACTTTCCAGCTTCCGACCCTGGACCGCTCGAAGGAGTCGCCTCAGAGGTGTCGCCAATTTGTGGCTCGGGCGGGTGTTGAGCAGGGACCAACCGTCCCGGCATTTCTATAGTCCTACCACGAAATGTTCTTAGAACCCCAAAATGTTCTAAGAACAGAAACAATGTTCTTAGAACATAAACCCGATGTGATAAAACAAGACAGCCCGGGCCAGAAATATTCGAAGAACATTTCGTGGAAACCACAAAAGGTTCTTAGAACATTGTTTGGTGGGGCTATAGGCGAGCCAGGACGCTTCGCCACTGCTGGGGGGGGAAGAAAAAAAGCCCTCCATGGGGCTCTCCGGGGCCCCTCG